TTTAGTTCTAATATCACATCTCTGTTGAAGGACTGGAAAGCAGCAAGATTAACCATTTACCATCACAGAGCTAAACTTTAATTCCAGCCAGCCTCTGGGTGTCAGATTCAGAAAAGATGTCTGTGTCTTCGAGTTCAGCTGCTCAAAGTCTAGGTTTTTTGTAATTGTGTACATAGAACAAAGGCTAAGACATGACATTTAGTACATGATTCTCTTATCTAATGGTTCAGGAGAGAATTAAGCACTCCAGGAAGATGTGCACACAAATCAGGGAGCTAGAGACAGCTAATAAGAAATGCTAAGTTTAAAGATGCATTAAACTCCTGCCCTACTCTGGAGCTTAGGAAACTGGATCAAGGCAACAACAACAAAAAAAGGCGCCCATGCCTACTTTGGCACCTGTGCTCTCCCTTCAAGTATACGCACCAAGCAAACAACAGCCTCAAGGCTAGAATACCAGCCCAAATGCAGTATTACCTTTTTAAAAGTGAAAACAAAAAGTTCTGATACCTAAAGTCTGCTTATTGACCCACTGTGGTTCCTTGCAAAGCCTCCAGAAGTGCCACGGGCTCCAGTAAACAGCAAGTACCATCTACTGCTTACAAGAAGGCCACAACAATGGTTAAAATGCTCCCTTTAAAAAATGGTTATGGTGTAATTTGAAGGTCTCAACCATACAGACTGGTAGAGGTACAGATTGGTAGAGGTACAGATAAGCTTGACCGAAAGAGCCTACATGATAAGAAGAGCTTGGAAGAACTACACAGGGAAGGCAGGGAAGGTGGGAGTCTTTACTGTTATTGACTTAAATTTTATAGCTGCATTTTTAAGCTTTTTGGTTTTTGACTAGAAACACACAACAGTCAGTAGCATCAGAACCACACTGTTATCACAGTTACTTTCCAAGAACTACAAACCCTGCAACTCGTGCTAGGAAAATTGTTTCTATTTTTAGAAATCTTTTTTCTGCCTAAAGTCACCTACAAAGGCTAACTTCAAACAAATACACTTAAAACTAGACACAAGCTTACTGCTCCAAGCAGAATAATCTCCACATCTTCACTTACTCAGTAGCTACAAAAAAGCCTGGACCTTTAGAGTCTAATGTTTTGCTACTTAGGAAAAAAAAAAAAGTTGTATATTATTCCTGCTTACACTTCTGAAATTGCATATTGCATAATATCTTGCATATAATGAGGTCGCACCTCAAGTACTGTGTTCAGTTTTGGGCCCCTCACTACAAGAAAGACAACATGTTGCTGGAGTGCGTCCAGAGAAGGGCAAAGAGGCTGGTAAGGGGTCTAGAGAACAAGTCTTACGAGGAGTGGCTGAGGAAACTGGGGCTGTTTAGTCTGGAGAAGAGGAGGCTGAGGGGGGACCTTGTTGCTTTCTACAACTACCTGAAAGGAGGCTGTAGTGAGGCAGGTGTTGGTCTCTTCTCCCAAGTAACTAGTGATAAAACGAGAGACAATGGCCTCAAGTTGCCTCAGAGGAGGTTTAGATTAGATATCAGGAAAAATTTCTTTACTGAAAGAGTGGTCAGACATTGGAACAGGCTGCCCAGGGAAGTGGTGGAGTCACCATCCCTGGAGGTATTAAAAAAACATGTAGATGGGGCACTTCAGGATATGGTTTATCAGGAATGGTGGTGTTGGGTGGATGGCTGGACTCCATATTAGAGGTCTTTTCCAACCTACGATTCTTTGATATTAGTTATTCACACTGATTTTAGATATCTCCTGCAACTGTACTATGCTAAAAGTTGGGAAAGTCAAAATTTACAGCATTCAATTCAAAGCATCTTTTACGTTATCTGATGGATGCAATACACAGGCCTGCCCATAATGCATTATTTAATCTCTCAGAATGCACTTACAAATTGAAAAGTTCTTCCTTTCCATCAGACTGATGGAAGTGATGGTATCTTCACATGCAGTCATTTTAAGGGATTTTTCTACGTAATACTAGACAACTTACAAACTTTCAATTTCAGAAACAATCTTCTCAATGACTGGGTCAATATGCTCTTGAACATACCAGGAAAAAAAATAAACACCACAACTTAATTCCCAAGTTGTATGGAAATTCAGTACATTTGACCAATAAATCACAAGTGACACATAGCCAAAAGGATTATTAGCATGCTCAGTCAAGTATGAACAACCAATATGCACAGCATAGAAGAAAACTTAAAACAGGAAACTCTTGAAAAATGCTAAGCATAAAGTAAAAGCAGAATATACAAAAGCAGCAGAATATACAAAAGCAGCAGAATAAGAGTGAGACAGAGAGATCCTAAGTGATGTGTCTTTCTCCCTTTCCCACTTTAAGACCTCAGTTTTGAGTTGGTTTCCTTCACCACGCAACTCGTCCATATTCATTCTATCTCATAACTATAGAAATGATGACTCCAGGAACACTATTTTACTAAGACACCAGTAATAATGCATTTGAAAGCACAAATATTAGCATCAGCACTGCAGTCCATCAATGGCTAAAGCAGCAGATACAATTTTTCACCTATTTGGAATATTTCTTTCATGACAATAATGTAAGCCAGTCCTTCCAAGTTGGTACAGTAACTAATACATTAATTTATACAGCAGTGAAAAATACACTCTTCAGCTCCTTGATGTTTACCCGTAAGAGTTTTGCTTTCCCTCTCACCAAGCTAGTTTAAAGAAAGGCTTAAATCCATTCCAACCATCTGTGCTTCATTCAAGTGTCCCTCCCCACATATACCATAAAAAAAATTCTGAACTAGCACAAAATGTCACTTCCAGTAATTCATTCTCAGGAAAAAAAAGTTATTTAAACCCTACCCTCTCCCACCTTTCAAAAATGTCTACTTCCAGCCAAACTATTGCTGCCTCACTAAGCTGCATCTACATTAAGAAGCAGCGTTACCAAAAATTATAATCTCTGAAGTGCAACACTGTCAAAAAGCCTGCATCCGTGCTACATGCATTTTCTGGATTTCACTGTGGGGTAGCACTGCTCTAATCTACAGGACTGAATGAGCAGCACAGAAGTACATCATGTGCCGTGCTAGAGCACTTCTGGATTAATTCTGCCTGGAAGGTATTCACTCTGTGCGTTGTAAGACCACTTCATGATGACTGAAAACAGAGGGCTGTACATCGGGACAGTATCTTAAAAAAAGTATGCCTGATCTAAAACACACTTATAGACACTTTATCTCAGCTAGACTTGAATCAAAACTAACTTTACCCTCACATGATAATGTATTTCAGAAGTATGGATGCACTATTCTCAACATGCTGGCACACTCAAGTGACAAGTCTCCTCTACTAGACTGCCTCTCATCTTCCATCAGTGTGAAGTCATTGTCAATCAGAACTGTGGCAAATGCCCCAGCCCCACACTACTGCTTCCACCCCACCACCTTTTGCATTGAATTCACCAGATCAGAGCAACACTGGAGACAGCAATAAGAGATATTCTTGATCAGGCACCCTGACTGTGAATGGAAGTTTAAAGTATTTGAAGTTCTTGTCCTTTTACTAAGTTAAGATAGAGAGGTCAAGACCAACAGACAGAATAGCTGTATTTCAGATGCAGTCTTCTGTTGACCCGCAGTTAAAACAACCCGATTCCTGAAAGCAAGCTTTAGAAGAAAAACAGAACCCATAGCAGTATTGTCATAAAAAAATCCCGGCCATTAGTTACAAATACCCACCTAATTTTTAGTAGTGAGACTTTTACTATTTTGACTCAAACAGCAACTGCTAACACATCCGTTTAGTCCTATTCAAACTTACACTAATACCTTATGTGATTTATTCTTCGCATATTGTTGCTAGTGTCTAATGTATCACTTTGTGTCACCTTTGTGTTTGTGATTCAAGGAAATAAACTATGTTTAGCATTTTTCCATACATTTAGCAGAATGCCATTTTTCCAAAAATACAAGTGAGAAAGGACAGGAAGATAAATGTTTTCTATATTATTCAGAGAGCTTTCTACACGAAACAAAGAAATGCTTTAGGAGAGTTCATATTCTTTAAGTGTTTCTTCAGCATACTATGTGTTACAATTCCAAACTTCTAGAACATAAAGGTGCAACTAGTTCATCACATCACCTTATAAGTCTACTGTGTCCAGTAACCTGTGCTCAAAACATACACCAGAAGGCTGTGCTGCCATTCAGTGAGACCTGGACAGGCTGGAGAGTTGGGCAGAGAGGAACCTGATGAGGTTCAACAAAGGCAAATGCAGGGTCCTGCACCTGGGGAGGAACAACCCCATGCACCAGTACAGGCTTGGGACGGACCTGCTGGAGAGCAGCTCTGTGGAGAGGTGACCTGGGTGTCCTAGTGGACGACAGGTTGACCATGAGCCAGCAGTGTGCCCTGGCTGCCAAGAAGGCCAATGGCATTCTGGGGTGCATCAGGAAGAGTGTGGCCAGCAGGTCGAGGGAGGCTCTCCTCCTCCTCTACTCTGCCCTTGTGAAGCCCCATTTGGAGTACTGCGTCCAGTTCTGGGCTCCTCAGTTCAAGAAAGATGAGGAGCTACTGGAAAGAGTCCAGCGCAGGCTTACGAGGATGGTGAGGACAGGACAAGGGGCAACGGGCACAAACTGAGGCACAGGAAGTTCCGTCTGAACATGAGGAAGAACTTCTTCCCTCTGAGGGTGACGGAGCACTGGAACAGGCTGCCCAGGGAGGTTGTGGAGTCTCCTTCTCTGGAGACATTCAAGACCTGCCTGGACGCAGTCCTGTGCAGCCTGCTGTAGGTGACCCTGCTTCGGCAGGGGGGTTGGACCAGATGATCCCCAGAAGTCCCTTCCAGCCCTGAACATTCTGTGAAAAGTGCTATATAGTTAAGAAAAATCCTTCAGTGTAACAAAAAAACCTGTATTCAATGACAGAAAACCAGTAAACTTCAGAGTCAGTTATCTTTGTCTTGGTCAGAATGAAGAAAGTTTAGCATTCACAGCTCTATTTCAAACAGACATGGGAAGAAAGGGAAGTACATACATTTGAGCATCCAAGTAAAAGTTGTATAGAATTCTACTGTTTTCTTTGTTTTTATGTGGGTATATACAGAAATTTTAGCAAAAAAAGATTTTTAAGCCTCCCCAAACCCCACTGTCTTGTGTTTTATAGAAACCAGAGGTTTAATTTTCATTTTATCAAAAGCTATGGCAAGTTATGATACTGCGATATAGGAATAATCGCATCCTGCTGTCTGTTCCACATCCCTGTTGTATGCATTACACATTCCACAATGAACCAAGCCGAAGTAACCACCTGTCCTTGCATCTCAGTCAGCAGTCTAACATCTTAGCTTAGACATATAATAAAGACAATTTTACATCTTTATTATAGTGCCCCCAATTACCAATCTACCAGCAACTGCTGGAAGAACTTGAGAAACATAACAGTGCTAATGAATACAGATGTACTGTTCTTCTACTACAGTGCTCTCCTGCAGCTTTGTTGCCCAGAACTGTTCTAGAAGCTTCTATAAATCCAAACTAAATCCTTAAAAGCTGGCAAAGAAGTAGCCTGAGCTATACCGCAATTGACAAAGCAACAGAAGCCAACTAGTACATAGAAATTAACCAAAATATAGTGCCAGATATCTCGGATTTGTACGGTTTAGTTATTTGATGAATTCAGCTAAGATTTGAGTCATTTCTCAGAGAGCTAAAAATATAAATGGGGTGCAGAGAGAAATCTTGTTTGCGTTTTCTCCATGTCTGCTGTGAGACTGTTCTTGGTTGGGGATGGCTGTATTGCCACACAGACACAAAAATACCTTTGCCGCTTGCTACAGCATGAAGCAGAAGCCGTTCAAGTCAAGAAGAAAGTCGTTGAAGAGAAGCACCAAATAGAACACAGCAAGAAATGAAGGGAGGGGACTCTTGCATCCTAGGTGACACCCTGTTCAGAATCTGCACATAAATCTATTTCTTCAAATCTGGGCAGCCCTTTATCATTTAAGGACTGGTAACCAACATGCATTGGTAAAAAGCACACATCTCCATCTCCCTCTGCTGTCAAGACCACAGAAAACAACTAACTTCTATATTGTCAGCATGACATTTAGGAACAGTCTACAGTTCAATCCAGTTTATGACTTAAGAGAATAAATACAGATTTACAAGACAAACTATTTGAATGTTACATTATAAGTCTTGAAACTATATACTGAAAATGTTCAGTCAGAAGTAGTATCTGGGTTTGTGATCCCCCCACCCAGCTTTTCACTGCTTGTGTAACTTTCACACAAGAGCAAGATAATTCAAAGACAACATGCAATCCTTAATAGATGAAGTATATTATTTTCTCTACTTAGCCTCATTCAATCCTATTTTGGGATTCTTTTAATTCTTAGATGTGGAGCGAACGAAGTAAACTGATGCAAAGTCTCAAATCACTTAATTTGTTATACTTCACCGCCCATCTCAGAGGAGTTTATCTACTCTCTTCCCAGTATAAAGTACCAATTAAAAAGAACAGTAGTATATTAGCATATGAAGTTTCCCAATTCTTGGCAGTCCTGAGATTCAAGGCTCTTAAAATCCAGTTTAAATCTGGGCTTTGGTTAGCATGAGGACATAGAATTTTCACGTTTATTAAAAACAACCACCATTACTTTTATACTGGATTTCAACTGCATCAGAATGCAGATACATTTTTGCTTCCAACCAAGGTACAGAATTCTTCAAAAGAAGTATGTTCCTTATGCTGAAGCAAGTGAACGCAATAATCAATTCAGCATCTATTTAAATGTAGCTGTAATAATAATAATTGATGAGAAACAGATGAGACAGAATGCTAATATAGTAGCACGTATTACTCAAAACAAGTTCAGGGTACATCTGGATCCTCCTTGTTGCTGGTGATTCATTTCTTTTAGTTTGAAACTGAATTTGACGCAGACAGCTGGAGTTCCAGTGCAGTCAACAAGAAATGTAAATGTCTATCCCTAGCATATCCTTTTGTTTATTTAGGATGCAGATGTGATTCATTCCTACTTCTCTTCACACTCATTTGCTACCAGACGTCAATGAGATCAGAAGCACAAGTCCACAGTGTCTTCTCTCCTAACTTTAGATGTCTACAGTGTGATCTACTGTTCTACATACACCATAAGACAGGAAAGATAATACCAGAGTGGGCAGCTGTCACTAGACTAATAGAGCCTAGTACTGTTCAGCATAGCTTGAGCCCACATGTGAGAAGGCTCTTCTGGGGGTGAAGGGGCATTAAGTGAAAAAGTCATCTCAGACATTAGAGCTTAAATTTTCCTATTTTTCAGTACCAATGAACACCAACCAGTTTAGCCCAAACTACATGCCTCATTAGATCTATTCCCATTTATTCCATAGCACAAAGAACTGAATGGAAAAGTCACCTACATGATGCAGAAATACTTAAAGGCTTATGAAGCAAAGCGAAGTGCACAGCTTCAGAGTAATTCACTACTTACGTTATAACATGGTATGTATAGAAACACATATTTGTCCAATATTGTTTTCTTGGCAATATTAATGTCTAGTACTACTTGCTGCAACTTTGAGTAAGAGCTCACTAAAAGCTACATGTGATGTTTGCAACATTGGTAAAAACATAATGAGACTGGCACCAAAGCAAGAAGGAACAGCAATGTACTGTTTGGCAGAAGACTGAACAAGTACAGGACTTGTTTCTTCTTTTATTTTGCAGATTAGTCTTCTTCACACACATAAATTGCATCTGGCACAAACTTTTCTATAGCTTCCACAGTTGTTACCGATTCTTGTACCAGGAGACATCCACCAGTTTTATAAATGTTATATTTTTTGAACAATCAAACAGGCTATAAAACTTAAAAGTGAAATAATATACTATTAATTGATAATTCCAATGGAGCTTTCAATGTCTTTTCAACTGCTCCAGTGTTCCTGCTGTTCGAATATTTTACACTAAAGGCCTTCACCTAAGTTGTTCACAGTAGCAGAATTTATAAAATTCATTTTGTAACACTCAAAATTAAAATAATTCCATCATTTTACTACTTTTGTTATGAAATAAGCATTAACTTTGACTTAATACCATTAATAAGCTCCTAGTTCTACCCTGAAACACCACAGAATGGTTTACTCCAACTGCATAGCAGTATACTTACTTGCATACTGCTTTTCTCATCTTTAAACTGCACCTAGCTATTTCAACACAGATGACTAATCAAAGTTGATGTAAATTAGTCTGAATTATTTAGCAATAACACATATCTGATGTTAGATTCTACAAAAACACCTGAAGTGATTCCTCTTGTTTACAAGAAAACACTACAAGTCTATTTTGTGAAAGAGGCAATCATAAAGCAAAATTTCACATCAGATTACCTGCTTCTGAGGAAACGAAAAGGCCTCCTTCCCAACTGTATTAAGGGCAACATGATGCTGGCCCTCCAAAATAAGCTGCTTATTGTCTTCCACAACATATGCCTACAGAATATAATACAAAGACATTAGCAGACAGGAAGCTATCATAAGCTTCATAATACAGAACTACTCACTTGCCCCCTAACTTAAGCGGAAGATGTTGTACTGTTCAAAACCTAAAGACTAGCATGACATACGTTTATTACACACGTATGCTTTTGATTTTGCAAGCACCAACAACTGCTGAAGTTCAGCCACCCAATTTCCACCACTCAGCATTCGCATTCTGGTAAATGAGATTCTCTTCTTCAAAGCAGACTGAGTCACTCTCAGTTCTGTGATAAAAGCAAGCATTAACAAATGTCTGTTTAAGATTCCAGAATTCTCTTTTTTAGGAAGAGAACTTACAAGAACTGGGTGCATCCAGAGTAATGTAAAACCACTTAAGCATACTTATTACAGTAGCAGCTATTAAGACTGTCTGTGCTTCTTGGCACCATTTTAGTTCATTTGCCTGTTTTCAGAAAAAATTTCATCCATAAATTTTGTATGAGTATGCTTGAAAGTTCAGGATGCCATACTAAATTATTTTTTAACAGTCATATTTCATGGCCAAATTACCACAAAGGCCACAACTATACATACCTTCCACAGTACAACAATGTTCAAATCAACTTCACTGCATTTTTGTATCAATCTGACCGTCTCATCAAATGATTGTTTCACAGCCCTTTGAGATGCATGAGTATGAGATTGCACATGCGTTCTTTTAAATTCAGAGGATAAGCTTTGAAAAAAAAAGTCTGCACAAGGACTGGCTGAACTTATTATCTGCAAGAAAAAAGAAAAACAAGAATTGTTCTCAGAAAAGGATGCAAGCTGACACAAGTTACTCTAACAGAGCTCATCATTGTAGTATTTCAGTTCCATTATTTTTGCTTTGCTTCCCTTTGCAAACCTATAGGATGCCACACGTTTCTGCTTCCGTGCTTGCCCTGTTAGAGACCAGCCCAGCTTAATGATTTGTCTAAGGTAACATCTGGAAACAGAGCTATAAATTATTGGCCTAAAACTACAAACACCAAACTTAAAAATAAGTGCTTTGATTATTACCGCCAGACAGCCTACTGTGATATATCAAGTGTAGTGGAAAGAGCCGAAGTGTCCAACTAACTCACGTGCAAGTCACTGTTGCCTATTGGTATTTTCACAGAATCATAGAAAGTTTTGGGTCAGAAGGGACCCCTAGAGGTCATCGAGTCCAACCCCCCTCGCAGCGAGCAGGGACACCGCTAACTAGATCAGGTTGCTCAGAGCCCTGTCCAGCCTGGTCTTGAATGTTTCCAAGGATGGGGCCTCCACTACCTCTCTGGGCAACCCGTTCCAGTGTTTCACCACCCTCATTATAAAGAATTTCTTCCTTATATCCAGCCTAAACCTACCCTGTTTTAGTTTAAAACCATTACCCCTCGCCCTGTCGCTGTTGTCTCTGCTAAAAAGATTGTCCCCATCTTTCCTACAGGCTCCCTTCAAGTACCGAAAGGCTGCAATCAGGTCTCCCCGCAGCCTTCTCTTCTCCAGGCTGAACAAGCCCAACTCTCTCAGCCTGTCCTCATAGGAGAGGTGCTCCAGCCCTCGGATCATTTTTGTAGCCCTCCTTTGGACCCGCTCCAACAGTTCCATGTCTTTCTTGTGCTGATAATTTAAACGCATTACTAAAGATATCAGTACCCCCAAGTCCCTCTCAGCAGGGCTGCTCTCGATCCTGTCATCCCCCAGCCTGTATTGATACCGGGGATTACCCCGACCCAGGTGTAGGACCTTGCACTTGGCCTTGTTGAACCTCATGAGGTTCACACAGGCCCACCTCCCCAGCTTGTCCAGGTCCCTCTGGATGGCATCCCGTCCTTCTGGCGTATCTTCCTCAGATTAGCTAGAATTATTTATCAAAGTTAGGAACATACAATTTGCTAGCTATAGCAAAAGATAATACATTGCACAGCATATTCCCCATGCATAAGTGGCATGGTCAGAAGTACTGTGCTGTTTGTCAAGTTTGTCACCATTTATGCTGAGCTTTCCCACCAAATGCTTGATATGGAAGCAGTGGTTTTAAAACCAACAGCAATAATACTTGGAGACAGCAGGATAAGTAAGAAACTTCAGATTACTAACACCTCCCTTTCAAAAATGTTAGCATTTCCAGAATATGCTGTTGCAGAGCTGCTAATCGTTGCATTAGCATAATACTCATACCCAAGGAGACAATAATCTGCTTTGGGAGTAACTGTCAAGAAGGGAAGGCCCCCTCCCCATGCCCCCCCATTAGAGAACATTTTCTTACAAGAAAGCTGGAAGCTCACGCAGCTCATCCAACTTTAAAAATGCAAAAGGGGGATCATCTACATCAGATTTTTAGTCCTACCTTCAATTTATATGCCTATAAAATGAAATGGCAGTGAGTTGGTTTTCTTTGGCTTTTAAAAGCTGGATACATATATGAAAAATGTACACTTGGCATAAAATAAGCAATCTGACATCCAGCTAACTAAATCCACTATGCTAATGTAGATTTTTTATCTCAGACAAGTGGCCTACTTTCCTCAGGTTTTGGAAAAGCATTCACTATACCAATATCATCTGCTAAAACGATTCTTCTTCAGACAATACCTGTATGCTTAAAAAGATTAAAAGAGCATGGTAATCTAGAATCTTAAACCGTAAGAAAAATCAAAGAAACATACTCGAACTGACTGCAACCTACATTAGTAGTACCAACATCCATTAGAGTTTTCCAGATTATTTTTAGAATAAGCTGTAATTAGAATTTTTAACTTATCGTACTAAAAAATATAATTAAGAAAAAAAACAAGAGAACAAGAATCTAACATCCACAGATCTCTACTGGGAAATATTCAAAAGAACTGCTCTGGAGAGCTGGAAAGCAAGGAAAACCGTTAGCAAAAACGTTAGCATTGCAATGTGCTCCCGAAGTAATTCAGCTGCGCAGTTGGGAACTTGAAATTCCAGACTATCCACTAGCCTACGCTAGCATACCTTCTCGGGGATGGGGAGGGAAGAAAAGGGAGAGTGAGCTGATCTAGCAGATTAATGGTTTTTGATGTGCAACACTCAACTTCCCAACTATGAAAGCACTGGTCCCATTTCTAAATTTTAAAAAAGGCTTTCACTGAGATAATTGCACACCACAGGGATACCTCGCACAAAACAAAACATGCAGTTGCACCAGTTCACCTACCTGTTCATTTCCAAAGACAATGTCTGCAAATGTGTAATTTTCTAAAGGATAAAAAGAGAAGGCATTGTTTCAGCACCACAAGCAGTCATAATCATAATTTCAGCACACAGCATCCAAACAGTATTTTCTTCCAAAAAGTTCAGGAGAGAACCTACCTTCTGAGTTTTTGCATCTTACTGCTTTAAAGCATAACTTCGCTCTTTCTCTACTAGCAAGTTTAGCATCTGAAAGAAAAAGGTTGCAAGATTTTTTCCCTTCAACATAACCAGTCCCTCCTCATTAGCCAAAAGTCTTCCTTTAAACTAAAAAAAAAAAAAAAGCAGTCTTTTTAAAAAAAAAAAAAAAAAAAAATACACAAACACTTTGAAGATACTCAAGAAGAATGACTAATCGAGCAGAGCAACTGCATGATAGTAAGGAAGATGAATTTTTCTGTGATTGCATGTAGTGAAGATGACGCATCTTCTGCACACCCCTTCCATCTACTTCTAGAGCAGGAAGTGAGCCATAAAACATTCAATTTGTCTGACTGGTTCACCCTCAATGTTAAACACCAGAAGAATACATGTCTAGACTAATTCTTAAGTGCATAAAATGTCAGCATACAAGTAAAGATAACAGTTGTTAGACACAGTAACAGCACTTTGTTTTTGCCTGGGATAGTTAATCTTTTCAAAAATTAGCAGCTTGTATTAGATAAGGCAGGACACAGCATGAGCGGTTCTAGTACCTTTCTCCTAACCGAACAGAGCACTTGTCAAATATTCTGTTGACCAATTAAATTTAATACTGATATAACTAACTAAAAAGCAAAGGAACACTGAAACATATTTCTTGCGAGGCAAGCTATTAGTCAACCCACACACGGATTTCTCCACATCACAGAAATAATTTACTTGTAAGTTAAGCCCATTTTTAAAACTAATGGAGTATAAAAGTTATCTGCCAATATACTTTTCTTGAAACACTAACAAGAGGTACTGTAGTGCATCTGGAAAAGGACAAAGTTTCCAGAAATCAATTATTCTGAAAGCCACATTCAACTCCTTGTAAAATTCTTTTAACTGTTCTCATCAGGCAGAAGCTAGACTTGCCATCCTTTTAGTGATAGTGATGCAGACCTTTGTCTTCAGAGATGTTAACAGATTTTTGAAGCTTCCAGTGCTTGCTGTTACTTGAAACTTGCACTATATGAAATTCTTTAACTCCAGTCTCACTCTAAGGTAGAAACAAAAGTTATGTCAAGTAAGACCAGTCACAACTGTGATTCTACATCGCATAGTAACATTGCAAGGTGGCACTGTCAGAATCTTAATTTAACTCATTATTCACACCGTCCATAATACAGTACTACAGAGAGACAAGAGGAGAATTAAGACCCTGCTGTAACATAAAACAGTCCCAGCTCACAGCAAATTCCAATTCCAGTAAACAAAGCCACATAAACAAGAAATGAAGATTCCCCGAGAAAAATACCCACAAGCTAGTATTTTAGAGTAAAACCTAGGCTTTTAGCCTCAATGCAGAACGTTCTCCACAAGGCCATTTAATTTCCGAGCTTACTTTAGGAATATTGCTAGGTCAAATCTCAAAAATTCAGGAATTTTTTTTTTTTTTTTTTTTTTACATAAATACACAATGAAAGGTAGCTTTTGAGGTTGATTTGCTATCTTGGAAAGGGTGAGGTGGTAGTGGAAAATTAAGTTTCACGCAATGCTATCTGTTAACTCTAAGTACTTCATAAAACATTCCTTCCTCCTCAAAGAAGAAGTGGACAATATTCACTTTAGTAGCTGAAGAAAAAACAGAGTTTACACACCTTTAAAATAAACTAACAAATCAGCTCAGTGATTCCACTACCAGCTAAGTGCTTAGGAATTCTATAAACAGAGGATTCATTACCTTGGTCTGTGGTTGAAAAAATGGGAACAGCTTTACCGAAAAAATGAGTAAATTTCAATTAGCATGGTACGAAAAAATGAAATGTTTTCATCTGCTTTGCTAAGGTCAAAACAGATATATCTGTATTTGGGTTATATTTGCAAAAATGTCTTTCATAGTTTGGTAATAAATGTAAAAAGAAGGTTCCTTCAAGCTGGACCTTAAATTTTGACTTCATGTTACCACTAATTCTACCAGTGTTTTCACTGAAAAGTTGCAGGGGGCACAGGTTGTCTCCTTCAGAACTGTCTTGAAAGTTGTGATCAGGAACATTCAGGAATTTGGAGTAAATATTCCTGAAAATGCACTCTAAACTACAGCACAAGAGTTTTCTTGGGATAAAGACAGTTATAGCAGATTTCCAGAGAGTTGAGATATAACTTAATGTTAGTATTCTCTTTCCAACAGTAACTGGAATGATTAAATATGCAAGGTCTACTTAGCGATTGGAAAGTAGTTGTGAAAAAAGCCTTTTACTTAAGTCTTGGTTCTACTGGTGACATTTACACATTTGCTGAGCTTTAGAACAGTATTATAATTAAAAACAAAAACTTACAGTATTGGTATTTTCTACATCCACAAACACCAACATATTGTCCCCTCTGCCTTCTTCATCTTCAAGTGCATTACTTCTGCAGACAGTAGCTCGAATATGGAGAGACCGGCTAGTACAAATAACTGCAGTGTGCCTTAATACTCTATGACTAGGAAGGAGGGAAGGGGAAAAAAAAAAAAGACATTCTAAATAACTAGGACTCCTGATCAGAACCTGTAATCAAGAAGTTTAGCTTTTAGGTTTGCCATCAATACTAAGACCATGACACAACTTACTCCTTTCAGCCACTAAAGAGACAGCTAGCTTTTTAGCTTTCCTGTCAAAACTGTATTACTTTTAACAATCATGCTGCACGCGTAGCTGCTCCTCAAACCTGCAGTCTCTTAGTCAGTTTGAAATACTGGAGGAAAAGGTTTGTTTGTCACCATGATGAAAAATACATCAGAAATATTTCTGATTAAGACAACTGGCACAGTGAAAGTAAACAGGCATGTACTGGCACAGGGATGTCATTAAGCTATTTAATGCCAGCACATACTTTGGAAAATGGTTTTTGAGTAAATAAACCATAAAATGCCCACTAGTTAGTTACACCTCCTGCATAAACATTTACTAAAAGGCATTTAGACAGAATACCACTACATTCAGAAAATCTCCCCAAAATGAGAATCTTCAAAGTTTATTTCTAGAACCATGAATATTTGCCTTACAGACATGCTCAACTGCCAGGCCAGCAAGCCCTTTGTAAAAGTTATCTGCCTGTTTTTCTAATGGTGAGTAAACTTCCACTCTTGACACCATCACAACACACGAGTTCTCATGTAGAAGATTCATGTTACCACAACTTCCACTTGGAAACATTAGAGGCATGTAAAAATTTGATATGCATTACCTACTAAATATGCTAAAACATCATGCAACACTCATTTTGGGAAAGGAATCAGGGGTTTCCTAAACTCTTCACGTAAGTTTATTCTGTAGGTTGTGACATTAACAGTTTTGCAGTTAGTCTTCACACAGATGTACAGATGTCTGTATAGCTTTCAAATGGCACAAATTAAATCATTTTTCGAAAATTTAAAAGCTATTCTCAGTCTACAAAGACCACTGTTAAACCAGATGATATTGCTTGAATTTCCCTTGAAACTTCAATGCAGTTGGGAACAAAAACACCCCCCTAACAACCACCTTCCATCTCTGAAACACCTCATTGTCTGAATACTACAAACTCAGAGGAGAGACAACTTTTGTTCTTAAAAAAAGAAAGAGACACCCCTACATTATAGGGGGATGAATTCCCTATTCCTACCAACTAGCTTAAAGCCAAATGAAAAGTTAACACTGGCATTTCAGAAGCTACAGAAAAATCTGAACAAAAGGTGCTGCAAGCCTGTTGCAACTTTTTACTCAGCTCTATCTATGAGCTCTAACAGCTATAAGGTAGCAATGTAAGAACAGCACCTGCAGAAGATTGAGAGAGAAGGGTAAAAAGAGACAGTCTTCATTTCTGAATTTGTGTGTTTGTTAGATTGCTAAACTAAGGCTTCCCGAAGGCTGATCTCTTCAGTTTCTAAACAAAGGCCTGTTCACCCCAAAATCTTTGAAGAACAGGTTTCTCAAAAAAGTTCTCCTGAGCCTTCTTAGCCTGGAATATGGGTAGGACTCGGAAACGCGTGACATAAAAAGTCAGCTTGCTACCTTTCAAGTAAAGTTCAAAGCAAGCACTATTTGTTACCTTGTGGTGTCAAACTTGACTGTCTACCGTCTCAAGATGGTCCAAAAAGGAACTATACAACAGCATGCAAGTCAAACTTTGTATTTAACCCCTCCGAAGCGAGTAACTTTCATCATAATAAAATTACAAGCCACACTTTAACTAACAACAAATTCTTTTCTTCATTCTAGACAAGATTTTGTTTTATAACATGCACAAACAAATTCAGTCATTATTTTTTCCCCTATGCCTCACGTGTGTCCAGAGAAACTAGATATGAAGAGAGTTTGTATTAACAGCATTCCATTTATAACCTTCTGTTAAATTATTTTAATAACTGCCATTTTGATGGAAGCAGTGCAGGGTATGGAATCTCATATGGAAATTCATCATGCAGTAGAAAAAATATTGCTTAGAATAGCAGATAACAGGCCACTTTTACATCATCACAGCAATTGAGAGAAATTCACTAAAATTTACATTTATGTTTACATTTGTGTCTAATGAGTATGACATAAAAAGTAAATAAAAAACTTACCACATTTTTGAGTGTCTTTTAATACTTTCATAGTAAAACAAAAAGTTAATTTCATGAACACCTTCTTCATCTGGTCCCCGTAGCCACATTGGCAGCTGCACTGAAGCCCCAGGAAGAAGAACAGTGTCAGGAAGTGGGACATGTATTACTTCAGGCTGATCTCCTGTGCCAACCCCGAAGTCCACAGAAGAGGCTGAAGACAGCAGTGCTGTGCGCACAGAGGTAGGATCTGTCACAACAGTCTTGTAAGCACTACAGTTTTCAGAAGCTGAAGGACTTAGTGGTGTTAGAACAGCAGTATTTCCACCAAAAGTAAAAAATTCTGGATGCTTGGACACAACCTTCAGTGCAGTAAGAGGACACATGCTTACGTTCACAAATTCTACATATGCCTTTCTGATTTCTCCACAGAGAAGCCCTGTAGGAAAATTTATAAAGAACACCTGTATGGGAGAGAACAGGAGAAAATAAAAACCTGAACACTGAGCCAAGTTACAAATGGGCATGAAAAGAACAACCAACATATTTAAACTATCTTGCTCTCTACAGCTTCCTGAGGAGGAGAAGTGAAGAGGAAGGTGCTGATCTCTTCTCCCTGGTACCCAATGATAGGACACATAGGAATGGTTCAAAGTTGTGCCAGGGGAGGTTTAGACTGGACATCAGGAAACATTACCAAGAGGGTGGTCAAACACTGAAACAGACTTCCTAGAGAGGTGTTCGATGCCCCAAGCCCATCAGCGTTTAAGAGGCATTTGGACAACACCCTTACTAACATGCTTTAACTTCATCAGCCCTGGAGTGGTCAGGCTGCTGGACTGGCTGACTGTTGTAGGTCCCTTCCAACTGAAACATTCTATTCTATAGGGTATTGTCATTAACCTGTTAGTCAGACCATTCTAATAACCCTAGTAAGGAAAACCACTGTGTTTTGATTAACCAACTTGAACTATTCTAGATGAATGGCAAGTAAACAGAAAAAACCACCTTCTTTGCCTGTTCCCCCTCACCTTGAAATTTGGCTACAAAAGCTGTTGCTAACTAGCATTCTATAAAATATAACAATTTCAGAAGGATATTAATTTGGAGGCTTTAAGTTTCACCTTAAAACACCCCACACAAGTTTGGCACTGACAGACCAGAAATTAACTGGAAAGATTTAGGTATTAACAAACTCTAAGACTTCATTGTTAGAATTACATTTACAAGCTCTGGATTTGGCTCTTTGTTCAAAACTGCCAACAGAAAGTAGCTACATACCTCCAACAAAGGCATTTCTTCTGTAATAATGGGATCTAAACGTCGATCAGGTCCATATTTAATAGATGTTTTTTCCTCTTTTGTGTTATTAAGTCGAGGCCCTTGGATTTCTAAATCTTGTCGTCCTCGTACAGATAACCCATTGGAGACAAACTTTCCTGAAACAATTTTTAAAAGGTTTGATTTTATTTTTTTAAAGTAATTCTTAACTTTGAGAAGTGATCCAAAGCTCCCTACCCAATCTCAAAAATAATTTTAATTTTTCTGTTCTTTGGCATATGCAGTGTTCACTGTTTAAGCAGCATCACTGACAAAGAACTATTCAAAAGTTACTGTCACACATAACACACTGCTACTGTGAGTTCAGACAGCTAGTTATCCATTGTTGTGGACTTAACTCTGCCCTTTAATAGTTTGACTACAATTGCAGTGGGCGGGCAGAGAATGAAGGTCATGTATTTATCTCCTATCTCAATTTCTGCCAAGCTGGAAGAAAAGTCACACAAAACACTTATTTCCTTCAAAGACAGGCAAACACTCTCCAAATGTTTTTTATTCCAAAGGTTTCCAGTTCATAGAATGCTAATCAAGCTTCACTATTTATTTTAGACACTTTCAAGCACGTGCTTTAATCCCCATTTCCTCCAACAACTAAATTTTACCTGTGAGACAGTTTCAGATGAATGACTCAACAAAACAGATCAAGTAACACACAATAAATAAGCACTTCATATGTTAATGTAAAAGAAAGAGAACCAAAATAAAGCCAAGATGCTAAAAAAAAAAAATTATGTCAGACAAATGCAAATCTGGGAATCAATGCAACGTTTAGACAAAGGTCAAAAGCTAACAAAGTGAAAAGACCCAGAAGAAAAACGAATGGCAAAAGAGTCAGTGAAAGTTGTTATAGATTCAACATGACATAGATGGAATATTTATATTTTGATTTAATGGTTTCAAAATTTCCACCGATTTAAAAGGAACATAAGCATGGGTTTGGCAGAGGTTACTTCCTTTCTCATGGGATTCCTACAGGCGTCAATTCAGTCTTTTCTTCTTCCAGTTGTTTCCCTTGTTTCTGCATCCTCCACCTGAAGGAAGGCCTTGCACCACGATAGTCAAATGTTAAAAACTAGAATTTCGTTCTACTCTGCAGCAGCCACATCTCCCCCTTCCAGAGGCACACAACTTAAGGGAATAATACACTTACCTGTCTGTAATCCAATAGAAGGATCTATCCCATCTAATGTCACACCACCCTGAACAGTGCCAAGATTATAAACGACTCCCAGAATATGTAGCTCCCCTGTTTGATGGGGAAAGAGCTTTAGTCTTGCCTGTGGAGATATGTTAAATTTTTGTTGTTGTTGCTACTAGAAAAAGGTATTATTACATTTAAACGTCCATTTGCTAGAGACACTCACAGCTACATCTACTTTATAGTCGTGTCAGATGTAACTGCATACAATAACTTCAGTTCATTTACTGGATTCAAAATGTCATATACACAGAATTTACCAAGTCATCCACAGCTGTGAGATGCCCATTACATTAGGAAAGAAACCTAAATTGTAACAAAAATGATCTTTAGAGACAGAATCACAGAAAGGTTGAAGTTGGAAAAGACCTCTGGAGGTCACCTTGTCCAACTCGCCTGCTCAAGTAGGGCCACCTAAAGCAAGCTGCACAGGACCATGTCCAAATGGCTTTTAATATCTCCAAGGACAGAGACCCCACAATGTCTCAGCCTGCGCCCAGTGCTCAGTCACCAACCCATAAAAAAAAAAAAGTGTTTCCTGGTTTTCAGATGTAGTCTCCTGTGTTTCAGTTTGTGCCCACTGCCTCTTGTCCTGTCACATGCTCCCTTCAGATATTTATAGACACTGATGAGATTCAGAAGTTCCAGTACTTCATTTATCAGTAATGTCTTCTGTAAGTTTAGCATTAAGTTTAGATCATAACAATTCCACCCTAAAGTTCAACACTGAAAAGACTATTTTTAAAGCAAAGTACAGTACTTACCACTTTTGTCTCCTCACTATTAATTAAAAATTCTTCTATTGCTTCAGTTCCTATCATATCATCTTCACATGTTCCCTGAAAAGAAACAGCTTTTCAGATAGTACTACTCCTAGGCAGAAAAAGTACCATAAATATTACTTCCCACACCCTTCCTAAAGTGCTTAAGGGAAAAAAGCATACAAATTTCAAACTGCTGACAGTTAGGACCAGCAGGTGCTATATGCCCAGCTTCTCAGACTTTCTGAATTAAAGCAGCAGCTAAAGAGCTCGGTAAACTTTTACTTAATAGAGAAATTTAAGATTTATCACTATAAATCAGAACCATTCCCAATTTCACTGATACTCTCAGAAGTATTTATCATGTCATTAAGGTAGCAGTTCAGACCAGACCAAAAGGAAAAGAGTATGGTAATCTTTGATATTTATTTATATTAAACCATGTTTATAACTCTGGCAAACACTTACAGCACCTTTAGAGATCACTATGTTCCAAATGTTTTTGGCCAGGAAACCAAATTAAGGAATTTACTGTAACACTCAGTATTAGAACATACTAAAACCTTAAAACATACGAATGTGAGAACAGTCCTTCAGAGGGAAGTTTTGGCAGCATTAGTTGAAGTGTTAAACAGAAGCAGTTAATCTAAACTATTCAAAATATTAATTTTAAATACCATAAATTTTCATTTTTTTCCTAATCGAGATGACACGATGTTCCTACATCATACCAGTACAGTTTTGCAGAACACAGATTTCACTACGTACAATAGCTCGAGTAAGAAAAGGTATTTGATAATACATCTACTGACATCGCAAGTCATTTCTGCTGGTCAAGCCTAGTGCGACTCAAAATAGATGTACTGCACATACAGTGAAGTGTTGTAAGTATTTTACTTTGCATTAAGCTTTACAACACTCGTTACAATACATTTGTTAACTTGGCTGCTTTATGCCTTATGGATCTAAGAAAATCTAAACAACGCACAAACTCAGCCACTACCTTTTTTTTCCCCCCCCCCTTTTTTTTTTTTAATTTACAATTCAACCAGCTGTTTCCATACTACAGAATTTTGAAGACTTCAGTTAATATATACTCCAGAATTGTAGCTGTTTGGTTTTGGTTCAAAAAAGGATGAAGCTTTCCTTACCAGCTCTTTTGTTTCTCCACCATGCTTTGCACTGAAGTCTTTAGGTTGAAACTTCCACAGCAATGAAAGGTCAGTCAAAAGAAGCGGAACTTTCAGCGGGTTTCGGAAGGACACTTCTACAGTTATTGGTTCTATTAAAAAAGTGCAATAAAATAATGACAACAGGCTATCCCCACCACAACCTGAAGGATCACCTAACTCAAAGCGTTGGTTTAAATAACAACACAGGAAATACTGTACAAATTTATCTAACTCAGTTTATTTCTGAAGCATTTAAATCATAACTTTACCTTCTATTACAGCAAGTGGAAATCTGGAATTATCCGAGTAGCGATTTAAACAGAACTGTGTTGGTTGGAAGTTTGAAGGTATTATTCCTTTATTTATTGCAGAAACAACCTGCTCCTCAAGTTCCTTCCACTGCTGTTGTGATTCTGAGTCATACTCCTGATCCAGACTTACATGCGTTGCTGCCTGCTTTTCACCTAGTATGAGCAAAGCAATCTTAGAAGAGGAGAACAGTTGCATGCAACAGCTGCAACAGAGGCCTGCACTGGCAATTTGCTAAGTATTGTTGAAATGTCTTCTCAGTCACTGTCATTTTTACGTTACAACTGATTTAAGTAAGTGAATTGCAAGACATTTTGAAACACACACATGGAAGACAATACTGAGGATAATTTGAGTATAATTCTATTTGCAAATTATGGAATTCCAAGATTTTAGCATGCCACATGGTATACTCAGCTTACAGATTATTTTTACTTTATCACAGACTACAGTCTCACAGTATAGACCTGTTTTATATGAGGATTTCCATTCCACAGCGTTTCAGACATTTCATCCAAGAGAAAGTTAACCGTAAAGCTAATTTCTAGCATTGGCACCAACATCTAGCACTTACTAAAGCATTAATAATCCCTTTCATGAAATTCATTAGACTTGCATTGAAGCTTTCCAGCTATGAAAAATAGTGGAAGTCAGCACATCCACATATGCAAATTTCATATTTACACAGGAAGTCTGAAAACATCTAGCAAGTGGACACTAAGTTTAAGCTTCTCTTCTGAAATCCAATTTAAGAAGTTACCCTATCACATTCGTTTTACATAATGCTAGGGTTTTTTAAGTGACACCAACTCTTGCATATATTTTGTTTCTATACATAAGGGACTTTAATCTGTTGACATAAAATTTTCTAACCTTCTGCTGGTCTTCGATCATGCCCAAAGAAAACACGGGTTGCTGAGCTGTTAATATATGGTAAAGGAAGCTGTGGTAAGGGACCATCAGGTGATAGCTGGGTTACATTCTCGAGAAAAGGAGGAAAACAGAAGGTCATGACATTATGCAAACACATGTCCATGCTGTACATTATCAATGATTGAATGATACTGAAGCAAAGTTACAAGCTCTCAGTGTTTGAAGAGGTAGCATTTTTAAGATGGAACAAAACATTTTTTCTAATTGTTTTGACAGTTTCTTCTGCTTTGACAGTCTGAAGTAGTATTTTTTCTTCAATAGGAGTTCAAAGTTCATGAAATCTTTATGGAAAAAGGAGAATAATGACTTTAATCCAGCACTCTGATCACTATTATGGCTGCATGGCCGTTACGAGCTTTATTTGATGCAAAGCTTAACTCTCCAACTCAAAATTTGATAAACTATGTTCACTACACCACCACTATTACACAAGACTCCCACCACAGCTGAGCTGTGGACTCAAACACCAGTCTCAAGTAAGGTCTATCGTAACTTAGCAAACACCACAGAAATTCTGTTTACAAGATTTAAAAAAAAAAACCCACAAACATTAACTAACTACATGGCTGCATGTGTGGTGCTATCAGCACTAAACATCCCATGATGTACATGGTATACTACAATGCAGAATCACTTACAAACAGTTAACTCAATGACTCAGTTGATCTATACAAGTCCATATCAAAGAATAAAACTCACTAAAACATAGATGGGGAGTACTTTTATAGTACCAGAAAAGGTGACAGAGCTACCTAGTCTTTATTAAACATTTATTATCAAAAGCCTCAAAAATCATTATAATTGATCAAAACAAACCAGATCCACTTCCTCTAAAAGTAACTGAACTATCACAAACTGCAATTCAGCCATGATCCTCAAAAGGGAGAGTTCATTTTACTGTAATAAAAACACATACAAAGAGTCACACAAATACCCATCAGCAGAAGTATACTTAATACACACACGAGACACAGCATATTTGGTTTTCTGAAGCCTAAAGTCAAAAATAAACACATCAGCTAGATAAACAACCCTGGAACAAAGCAGGTATGACAGAAAATCATTTAATGACTTAGTAGGAAATTACTGGTAATAAAATTACTGATTACTCAAGGAATAAAGACAATAAAAAGTCATTTACCTTATAAACATAAAGATATTCTCTTAAAAAAGCTCCTTGCTGAGCTGGAGGTTGTTTACTGTCATTGATCAAAATATGCCTGAAGGCAGACACAGCATTGTCAAGCTGACGAAGCGTAAAGGACTGGCGACCAATAGTGAAGTTAATATGGTCTTCTGCAAGAGACCAGCCTTTCCCTTTGTAAACCTGCATGGCTTGACAATAGCAACGTAAGGCGTGTTTCTTCTGCAAGAAAAAACAAACAAGATTACTTCTCAAATAATCCTATTAACCACTCATTAACCACTCATTATAAATGTAGTATTAGGAAGATTGAACAGTAAGTCAGAAAAGTTACTGAAGTTTTTACCACCATCCCCACTATGCTAAGTGTAACATTTGCAGAAATGTACCTCATAGCATCTGGTCAACATTAATCTAAGCACAGATGTGTTGGTTCCTACAGTACTGAGCCTTGCCTGCAGATTAAGTTCATGTTTCCAAAGACCAGTGTGACAGGCCAAAAGTTAAAAAAGCAAACAAGAGAAGACTACTTTTAAGAGTGTTGTGCGTTGCTTTAGGACTGACTGCTCAGGTCTACAGATCTCTGCTGCCAAGCCTCAGGACATAAGCTACATTTAACACATTTCATTTCACTGCTGTAAATAAACTTTCAGTGTAACCCTTCCAATCAATGGGTGGTCAGTAGACACACTTGGGACAAATTCCATGCCAACCAAATCAACAAGACAGCCCTACAGTACACACAAGACAAAGTTACCAATTGCATCAGCCGTTGGGAGACTGATGCTCTGCTACCAATCAGCTCCACAGTTCCTTTCCTGTACATACATCAGGACCCGGGCATTCAATCCCAAGTCCAGGTATTGAACATCTGCATAGGCATTCACTGTACAGGCAAGCCTCAGCTTCTAAAAAAGGGAACAGCATTCCCTTATTTACAGCAGTAACGGGAAAAATCGAAGATGTGTTCAAATTGGTATGGTGATGACAGCAGAGTACAAGCAGCAAAACTTTAAGATCTGCAGACATTACTGACACTTTAAAATACGGTATCACAGTATGCAGCTGAGCAACATCACTGACTTCTCTTCATAGAATTTAGTATTTTGGTGCCTCTAATGATACGGGAAAACACCCCTAAACCTACACTTACTGTAACACTGAAAAAGCATTCCTTGGAAACCAGAATCACTACAAGAATTAGACATAAGCGATGAAAGCTGTTAGATAGAGACAAAGTGAAAGTTTTACAAAACGCATGCACTTTTCCAGGCAAAGGAGTGAGATATAAAAGAATAAATAAGAAAACCTCTGATCAATAGCTCCCTGTTTATACTGTATTGTTGCAACAATAGACAGGGAATCTACTGCACAAAGAAAACTAAGGAGCTGGCGGAAATAATCATACTATTCTTCACATCTGCAATTTTAAATACGGAAGTAAAGAATACAACAGTATTTTCTTTGGTCCTCACCAGGATGCTAAAAATGAGATTGGGTGGGCTGGGAGAACATCCGCCCCCCCCAAGACCACAGGGCTTTGTTTCAAACAGAATTCCTATTTCTGGGTTCTCTTGTATTATGGATTTGCAATACAAGTTTATTTCTATCAGATGTCTGCAGCTTATCAGTAAACTGAAATAGACTGTATTCAGGGACAGCCCCATAACTGAATTCTGGTGGCTAACAGCCATAAAGAGATGCTTTAGTTTGTCTTGTAGTAACTGTTTGTACACCGCACCTACACTAAAAAGCATGTGGTTAAGACACCAGGAAAAACAGGTATCTAAATTTTGCTATCATTCCAGTAAGTTAAGAGTTTAACAAATCCCTAACTGCTGCAATTCTCTCTTCTCTCAAGAGTAAAAATAATCCTTGATCAAAATAAAAGGCCTCAGATTTCACTGCGTATAAAATTGAGACCCAGCAATGAACACACACATCACAAGTTTCAAGTAAGTGATCTTCTCCAGCATTACTTCACACACAGAAGTGAAAGACTACACTGAACAATGCAGAAGTAATTTTTCAAAAGATCAGAGCTGCATACTTCTGACTAAAACAAAAGTGGCAGAAGCCAAACCAGACTAACAACACATTTAACACGTTTTTCAAAGTAAGCAAATATCAGGCACATTTTCCATGCAAAAAGGTAATACTTACCTGGCCTGCTTTACTAAACCTATGGCCAGCCAATATCATATGAAATGCAAATTTTCTAACCATGGGACTTTTCATGTTTATAAAGCAATGGGCTGCCTGCTCCAACAGAAGTGCACTGCGAAGATCTGAATCCTATTTAAAAGCAAAAAGCAGAATTAGCCTCAAAGTTGAATACAAATATAACAGTGGCCTTGTTTTAATGATAACAGGGACAGTAAGCTGTAACAGTGCTGTGAAGTTGCAGATTCTTTAATACACAAGCATTGTATGTATATGTGTGTGTACAAAAGAAAATAAGACTGAAGATATTTTTCACTGTTACACATATAGTGTTCAGCACCAAACACACTGCTATTTTTTCCCAGTGGAGAGATTGATATATTAACCTGTTTCAGTATCTCTGACAAAAGAAATATTTTCTGCTTTTTCAGTTACTCAGGCTACAGTTTCTAACACTTACCATTACCTCTGAAGCACTCTGCTACCTTTTCCCCTTCCCTCCCCCTGCAGATATTAACGCTAGGAACAAAAAATAAGAACTTTAACGGGATGAAGAAAAAAAAAAATAGAGGTAGCAATGGAACTTAGTGAATTTATGTCATGAGACCCACGATGATTTCTTAATAATGTACAATTTTGTATTGTTACCCCCTCCTCTTTCTCATGCTAAGACACAGCTATAATAATGGGGCTTGGACTAGACAACCTTTAAAGGTCCCTTCCAAGCTAAACTATTCTACGATTCTATGATTACTTTAATCAATCAGAAGAGAATCTACTTCATTTTACCACAGTTGAACTCCATGCTATCAGTGATGTCCAAGTATATGTCTAGACTACAAATATACTCTGAGACACCTATGTAGTATCCTATGAAAATCTTCCTTGCAACTGCCAGAAGGCATCACAATCATACCACATAAAATTTTAAGTCATAAAATGACTGTACACAGCCAATAGCATTTAAATTCCTTGCTTAAATAACTTATACTGCTCATACAAATTTTGGTAGCAAGCTTGAGTTGAAAGGGCAAGAATGAAGTTAAAGACACTTGAGAGAGAAGCTTACAGAACTAAGCAAATTTATTCCATGCTTAATCTGTCCCAGGAAAAGTCTCAGAAGCATCACCTTTGGTGCAGCTGGACACAAAGCCAGAACTAACTGCCAGTTAGACTTTCCTCTCAACCTACATAAGTTGGTATGCTATTACTGGTATTAGATTTCTTTCACTCCTTTTTGAACAAGACCCTTTCTGGGCTGTTAGAAGCTAATTCCATGCTTAATTTCCACCAATTAATATTACAGAGGTGTTCAGATTAGCTTTCACTTACATAGTAAGATTCTAATAATTCCTAACAGCTGAGCTACAGTAAAGTCTTCGTTACTTCAGCTACTGAGAACTTCTGATTACACATGGGACAGTATCCATTTTTGGGTCTGGCAAGTCATGCCAAATGCTTTCAAACCATGAGTTCTTAAACTGAAAGTATGCCATACAAGAGCTAAGTAGATGTCAAAGAAAATTAGTTATAAAGCCAAAGATAACAAACACATATTTAACACCTTTAAAGAAGTCAAGCAAGTCACTTCACTAGAAAAGAAGAGTAACTGTACTAGTTTCTTTACTTGCAGTAAACAAGAGTTTTCTTCGCTTTATGCTTTATACCAGCTCACTTGCTATCTTTGGCTAGAAAAATATGGGACAAGAATTAGAATGTAACCTACAAGTGCTTGGGTAAGTAACAAATTGGGGGAGAGCAAGGCTGGAATAAGTTACTGTTTTACCTCACTGGTTAAGCGAATCAGAAGAGCCGCTGCCTCTGAATATTTGCTTTGACTCTTTAAGATTTCAGCACTAAGCAGCACACAGCGTTCAGCCAGAACCATGTTCCTAAAGCAAAAACACAAATGTATCAATAAATATTTATCAAAATAAACCATGGAAAACTTTTCACCTTAAATATGACAAATTTTCTCCATATCACAGAAGACTGATGTGCTGTTGTTTATGCTTTTTAAAGTAAAATATGAAAGTTCATCTCCTGCAAAACAACCACATACAGATTGACACATTAAACATCTTATCCTACTATAACAGCAGCTTTTTGAAAGTCAAAGCTAAAGAGCATTTGAGGACAGTATTATATTTCTAAAAATAACAACTAAAGTGATCCAACCAACTAAATCATCTGATAAACAAGCAGTCCAACAGCCAGAAACAAGTTGTGCTGGGTTGACCTTGCTTGGTTGCCCAAGCTGCTCCATCACATCCCCTCCTCAACAAGACAGGGGGAAAAAAATTAGATGAAAAAGCTCAGGTGCCAAGACAAGGACAGGGAGATCATTCGCCAGTTAGAGTCACAGGCAAAACAGACTTGGTTTGGGAAAGATTAAATTTATTTGTTGTCAATTAATAACAGAACAGGATAATGGTAAAGAAAAAAAACTAAAACAACTTCCCCTTACTCTGCCTTCTTCCCAGGCTCAATATCATTCCCATCTCTTCTACCCCCTCCTCCCCCCAAAAAGGGCAGAGGGACACAGAATAGGAGTTTCAGTCAGTTCATAACATTCCATCTCTGCCGCTCCTTCCTTCTCACACTCTTCCCCTGCTCCAGCATGGGGTCCCTCCCACATACACAGTTTCTCAATAATTGCTCCAGCATGGGTCCTTGCCACAGGGTACAGTCCTTCAGGAACAGACTGTTGCAGCATGGGTTCCCCCCACAGGTCACCGCTCCTGCCAGGAACCTGCTCTGGCGTATGCTCTCCACAGGCTGCAGCTTCCCTCAGGGCACATCCACCTGCTCTGGCACTGGGGCCTCCACAGGCTGCACTGTGGGATCCCTGCTCCACTGTGGTCTTCCATGGGCTGCACAGGGACAACCTGCTTCACCATGGTCTTCACCACAGGCTGCAGGGAAGCATCTCTTCCCCCTCCTTCCTCATTGACCTTGGTGTCTGCAGGGCTGTTTCTCTCATTTTCTCACTCCTTCCTCACAGCCACTGTGCAGCGATTTTTACCCATTCTTAAGTATGTTATCACAGAGGCACCACCAGCATTGCTGACAGGCTCAGCTTTGGGCAGCAAAGGGTCCATTTTGGAGCTGGGTGAAAACTGGCTCTGCATGACATGGGGCAATTCCTGCCATCTTCTCAGAGGCCACCCCTGCAACCACACCCCTACCAAAATCTTAGCAGGTAAACACAATACACCAGCTTAATAAGCATTGTTAAGAACAGCACAAATCCCCTTTTGTGTTATCCTAGATAAACTAACATACCTTACTCTTTAAAAAGTTATCGAGATTCTGTGATCTCTTACTCATCTGGCACTATCACTGTGCAGGGCAAGAAAGTTAAGCCAGAAAGTCTTCCAGCTTTCATTGTGCCAGTACAAAAGTAAACAACCTACTTGCAGATATCTCGATAGGTCTGAATGGCTGTCTCCATATAGTGAGCAGGATACGGTCTAGGAGCTCCAGGCTGAAGAAAGGCTGATACAGCTGCCATTTCCTATAAGAGTAATTCAGTACTGTCACTGTAGGGTTTGGGTTTTTTCCAACAAATTGTAAACCTCAAAATGCTGAGGAACACGTTTCAACAGCTACTAGTTCAAGATCTTCATCTAATCAGTTACTAGCATATAGAAGCGTACCCAACACACTGTAACTGATAAAAGGTTTAATGCAATAGCCTATCTATGGCTCTTCTTGTAATCACCCAGACAGCAGCAAGAGAGTTATACTCACTCACAGAATTGTTTTCAGCTGACGGTAGCCCCAGCACTATGTAGAAGTATTGATTCAGTACTGCTTTACAAGTCCAAGAAATAATTTCCTATTGAAAGAACAATCTTTCTGATAAAGTGGCACTACCATCTGTTTTACGATATGGACTGTTTTCTGAGTTTTGCTTAAAGGAAGCTGCGTTCTCAGCTTCCAAGGAAAACTCTAGTAAACACGCACTCTTGAAATTTTACTTCTTTCCCTCTGGGGTGAAGATAGAATAACAAAGTTTTTCTGCAGTCATTAAAGATTAAGACTCATAGGTTGCAAAAATTCTTAATTAAGACTTCTACAAATCATTCATTAAGAAATTAAGATAACTTTTCAGATTATCCAAATGCAGAGCAACTGTCTGTATTGCAAAAATACACATTTATGTAAAAGCCATCAAGATGGGACAGTGTACAAACATGCTTCCATAGCTCTACAAAGTAAAGTTTCAAATTAAATTAACCAGACTAAAATCTACACAACATAGCTTCTAAAAATTGTTAAAACTGGATTCTTATTTATCCCCATGTTCCCGTATCTTTTATTGAAAATTATTTTAGTCACATATATCTTCATTCTCAAGAGCAATTAACGAATATGTGTTTACAGTGAAGTTCAGCAGCGACATACTCAAACTACATCCCTCATATTTATAGTGACACGGTCTTGACTTCCTGGCAAGTATTTTTCCAAAGTGTAAAAGATACTATAAAATTATTTCACATCTGTTTGAGTTATCAGACTACAAGTTTAAAGATCCATTTAGCTGGATGTTGCATTCTAGGTATTCTCTTTTCCATATTTCACATTTTAAGAATTAATGCTTCAATTTCTATTCACACCTTTATTACAGTCATAAAACCGCAGCCGAAAGATCCAAGAACACTTTGGGATTTGTTCAAGATATGCAGCAAATTTGTCAAGATCCTTACAGATTTGGAGATGAAGGGAAGAGATTGCATTTTGTTACCTTCAGACAAAAATTCGAGATTATTAGGAAAAGTTCAGAGAATGTTTATATTATGTGAAGTACCAACCAGTGCTCCAGCTGCATAAAGCATTGCCTGATCATTTAAGAAGTCTTTCTTTGCTGTATGGTAACAGCTATACGCAAGTTCATAGTGTTGCACCAAAAAGCACAAGTCTGCCATTTTCCGGATTTGAAGCTCTGGTGCTTCTGGTGGATACCTATAAACACAAATATTTAAATTCAAAGTCATAATTTTAATAAATAAAGGAAGACATGCTCCATAAAGTTTTCCTCTCCCATCTTAATTTCTATTCACAAAGTAGGAATAAAAACTGCTTTGCTTTAGCCTGACCCAGAAAACAGCTGAGTGAAGCTGCTTCCTTTCTGCCACACGTAACTTGGTTTCACACCCTACTCTCCAATTAACAAGATTCACTGTTCCACTAACATTCAAAGCAGGCATTCCTCTTAGCCAAGAAATACTGAAAAAGGTATGCAGCTATCACTGAAACTGCTCAGTAAGATTAACTCTTAGAGCTAGACAAAGCTGTATGAGAAGAAAAAAAAAAAAAAGACTTCAACTGTTCCCCTAGCCATAGTTATCATCTCTCCCCATTTCTGTTGAAAGAATCTACTAAAAACACTATGCCTTACACCAAAACACTGAGCAAGTTCCCATCTCTGCAAGCATCAGTAAATTTGACACTCAAATACATATGAATCACTTCAGTAAAGATCAAATATATTTTCAGACAGCTATCAGTCAAACTTTGTAGAAAGCAAACCATGCTCACAAGCTCAATACAAAGTTGAAATTAACAATATTTTGATTATGAATCCAACGACACACAACATACAAATTTAAAGTTGTATGTAAGTGTCAGGGCCATTAACTTTTGCTAGGTAACATCCAAGAACCATTTAGACTTCTGCGGTTAAGACAGTAGAAGAGAGTGCTTTTCATGGTTATACATCCTCATTCAGAGGGAAATTACAAAGCATACAGAATAAATATTCTGGTAAAATTTAAAACCTAGTTTCACTGTAAAATGCAGGCACAAAAAGTACGAAATTCCCCTTGAGTTCTCAAATGCACTTGCAAAAGCAATATACTTAGTACTTGACTGCAGTAAATTACACAGTTACATAACAAAAACATCTATATACGGTGTTTGACTTAAATAAGAAAAGAAAAAGCTTGTGCTAATTCAAAAATATCCCTTATGGCAGACCATACTTTTTTATTACTGTAACTATTAAAAATGTATGTTCTTTGTAACTTAGAAAGCTTCACTGTAAATATAGCAGGAAGGTGGCTCTATAAACAGTTTCTTTTATCCCCTTTTTCTTTGAGTTCCACTAATCTTTTATTGTACCTGTTTAGACATAGTACTTTTTATGATTTCTCCAATTCAAGCCTTTTACAATATTGCTAATTTAGTTCATTTTGCACAACACCGTCAAATAAACGTGCCCCCCCCAGCCACTCTCCTCAAAAAAAAAAAGAAGTGAGGTACATTTTCAGTTTAAATCTGAAGATGAAGACTGAAATTACTCACAGCAAACCAGAAGTATTCTTCAGTTCATTCACACTTTTCTCTGGAACCTTGCTGCCACCAAACCATTTTTTAGTAGCGGAAAACAGTGATCGACTCAAGCCCTTCCTGGATATTAACTGCAAAAAGACACTAGATTAGAGCGCTACATTGCAATAAACATATTAATGTAAGTTAAACTAACATAAAAACTCAAGCTTTATTAAGGCTTCCTAAATTCTGTTTTTTTTCCCCATAAATAAATAAAAACAATAAAATAACTAAGAGCACACTCCTTTAGAATTAAACACTGACACTGAGCTAGAAGTTTCTATTCATATATTTATTCCAGTTCAGACAGCTAAGGTTCATTATTGTTGCTTTAAAACTGCAGACATCTCAATACTAAGAACTGAAACATCTGAGGTATCTGTTTGAAATCTAACAGAATATCTAGTTTCTGGTATTAGTCCAACCTAAAATTTAGACGAAGTACATCCTTCATGAGAACATTGTCCCCGTCAGCACCCACACAAAGCACCACCACATTGCAAACATCAATTTCAAGTGTACTAGTCACACCTTCAAGCAAGGTTACACAACTTTATTCTTTTACTTGATTTCCACTAATGAGAACTTACACAAGGGATTTACCATTCCCAAGACCTAAGGAAAACTACATCTCTTTTTAAAGGTAATTTTAAAAATCGTAACACCATCCTTTTCTTACCACTACTAGGAATGTATTAATACATTCCTAATGGTAAGGCTGTTTGCTACATTTTATGTATGCACTTTTTTATGCTGCTTCATAAAACTTTCAAAGTATAAACACGGTCAGCATATACAAACTCTCAAAAGTCAATTCTGGGAGAGAGCACGCCTTACAGCATATGATACTAAGTATCTAAACCCCTCATATTTAAAACTATAACCTCAATGGACAGTTCATTCAAAATACTGAGTTCAGATAACAGACTGATATTTGGGTCCAAGTCTAATGCTAAATACAGTAATTTGATTGCACTAGTGCAGGTCAATCCACCTCTCCAGCTGTTTAACACCATATAAAAGTGAAACACAGAGAAAACGATGGACCCTACTGTGACGGAAATAACTAATGCATGTCCTTGACTTCACGTGGGCAGGATATTAACTACCACACTTTTTAAAACATCCTAGCTTGGGAGAAGACATTCAGTTGCAGAAACTGCTGAGATCAAACCAGACTGCATGATTTATGGTGTCCATACATTTCTTCTACATCAAGAAGCAGCAATTGAAGACTGCAGCTTTTTTGCTATTATTGATGAAAATACATTTTCTTAACTTTAGTTGTGCACTCTAGTGTTGAAGCACAAAAAGTACATTGTTACCCTTATCAGAATCATCCAGAAGCACAAAATATTAGGGTTTTCGGAGCAAGGACAGATATCCCTGATAACAGTTCAGACAGGCTTTCACCAAGAAGCCACCTTGTACCTAAGCTCTGTTCATACAAATTGGGTTTTGTTTTTTTTAAAGACAAATTGAGCAAAAATGGTAACTTCAGCTATTTCTTAAATTTACTTACAGTTTTCAATAAGATCATTAATCGTTAGATGCAGAAGGAAGTAATAATTTCAGAACAGGTTTTTGGATAACTGGATTTATACCCCAACTATTCTTTCTTATGGCACAAAGTGTTTTTGAAAGTAAACTGACCTGATCATTAAGTTGCCGAATTGTCTTCTCTATATGTGGCAAAAGTCCCCTAAATGTGAATTCCTGTATGAACTGTCTAATTCGATCGTGATCTGTGAGTGTTAAACAAGCACCATGAGGAGTTCCAGAATTTAATTTCTTCGAGTCTTGCAATGATGCAGTAGCCTTCATGTAATCTGTGCCATCCAAACTGCCACTGGGATGATCCAGTTGAAGTGGATGAGTCTTAAAGTTATTTGACAAGCCATCTATTGAAAGTTTGAAACAAAAAACCCAGTAAGTATAAAGTTACTTAAACATTTTGGGTTTAAAAAGTCATTTTTATTAACCTACTTTTAAGTTTTTCCCTCCTCAGAACTGTTACGCAAAGCTATTCACCAGCTATTCCACACTACAGATCAACGCTGATCAGACAGCAGCAGAGCACTACTCGAGTATCACTCCTGAAATTCTTCAGAAAGTTCAGGGAATCTCAAGAACTACAACATGGCCAAGTATGTATGGTTTTGGTTCTCAACTGCAGTGCAAAAAATCCTCAAGTACACTGACTAGTATCAACAACATTGAAGGAAACCATAAAAAATTAAAGCAAAATATTGCTGCATTTCTAACTTTTCATTAATTACTACAACTGCTCCATTGGATCCATTCACTCTTGTCTGTTTCTGTTTTAAGGTCTAAAAAAAAAAAAAAAAAAAAAAAAAACCAAATCTAACTTTCCATGCCTTTCTGAGCAATCATAATGTAAACCAACATCCTCCAAAGTCCTCTTAGTTCAGTGAGAACTGAACTAAGTTCTGACCACTATTCCATCTAGCTATCATAACTAGACCAAGACACCATTTCACTCTGAGACTTCAATAGTTCTCTTATTAGTTATTTCCTTTCTATATAAGAAAATCAGCTTGCTTTATCTGGCCTGAGCTAGCACTGAGTCAAGTCGAGCTGCGAAAGCAAATCCTTAATGGATTTTACCTGTGAAATGTAAAGCTGGGTATGTAAAGTTCAAACAGCAGCTTGCAGACTACATTCAGACTGCAAGGCCCTAGAAAGCCACTTTTTAGGCAGTTGCAGGCTCTCCTACACATGCTAGGTCTCCCCATGCCTTTCAAGTCAGGTATGAAGGATCTGGGCTGAGTCAGGCCAAACAGTGTGGGGTGTCTCCACTTCTTCCCTGTTTGATGATGCTTCTCCTCTGAATCCTACATGGCTGACTTAAAAAAATTTCAAAGGCCATGCATTAATTTGCATTCAATTTAATTTACTGTCCTCTTCCATCCATGAGGTCAATTGCAAGGAAGTTCTTCCAGCCAGCTTACTTTTTACATCAATACTCTGTCATTTCCAGATTTAAAACCAAAAAACAATGACAAAAACCCCACCTCAGCTTCCATGCTACATCAGAGCACAATAACCAGAACTTATATTATGATGGAAGTTAACCATTTAATCCTATGTTACTTTTAATTAGCTGTCAGAGTTTGCAGACAATACACTCAATCAAAAGTTGAGCCCCACACATCAATAGCCATCTCATTAAAGATACACGTACCAATTACCACCAATCCAGCAGATCAGCACCACAGCATTTTTCTTCATGGACATCAGGTTACATGATCTTTGAGCATTCAGAAAACTATTGCTTCAAATTCCCTAACAAATCACTCAAGTGATTACTGTCCAAGACATGAGACAGCCATATAAATGCTATCACATCCACCTTTTCATAGAAGTTATAAAAATACCTTTAATTTCACTGTCTAAGCCATCTGATATCAAGTGATCAGTATTCTTGTTTGAAATGACAGTATAAGGAAAATCTTCATAGCAATCCTGACAGAAAAAAAAGGAAAAGAATAAGTAGTCAGAATTTTAATAATACTAGAGCACACACACATAAGTCAGTCAACAGTGGTTGTTAACTTTAATAACACATTTGTTCGTAAATATTCATTTCTTAAGTAGTTTATGAGGCTTTAAGAACTTGCCCTATTGTAAAGATGAAAGTTATGTTTACCAAATGAAGCAAGTATCTTCTGGCTTGCTCAAATAGCTTCACTGTCAACTAAAGCAAGCAACCCCAACCCTTAGATGGAAATGCCTACAGCAATGAAAGTATGCTCCCTAAAGCGTCTCCTGAACAAACGTATACAAAAAAACCATCTATGTTGGACAGTTGATATGGTACAGAAAAAAATACATATAATTACTTTATGTGGAACATTAGCTTACATAATACAAGATGCTTCGACTTTCCAGTGCCAGCTAGATTTGGTAAAGAACTATGATTCCACAAACTAATCTTTTAATCAAATGCAGTAAAAACTGCAGGTCAGTCAAAAACAAACTCAAGAAGGCATATTTTTGGTCCTGAAGCAAAAAATACAGACATTTATGTCAAATTTAACTCAAGACACTGAGCTAACACACACTATCATTTGCCATCTTAGAAGATGACAGACAAGACCGGAGTTACCAGGAAACCCACACATACTCCACAAAACAACACACCCACAGTCTAGTGAAGTACAGAAGACCTTGAAAACAACCCAAATTTTAAGAGTGAAGAAAATCAATCAAAATGAAGGTAGAAAGTTACTATGAATAGGAGACTTCTGAGGTTACTTGCTCTTGTCAGTGCATAAAGCACAAGTCCATTATTTCAGTACTCCTGCCAGTCTATTTCAGACAGTCTAGTATTTCAGTGCTCCTTACTGTCAATTTACGTAGCACATGGCACAGTACTTAGAGAGGACTTATCTTCTGTCCTCACAAAAAATCATAGCTGTGTTAGAACTATCTTGACTGCCTACTAGCCCATTCTGTAGAAACACACAGATAATACTAAGACAAAATTTAACACAACCAAAATGGACTTCCATATGCACCTTATAAGCTTTTTAGAGCACTATAATACCTGGTTCTGAATAGTGTTTTTCTGAAGGTATTGACTCCAAGGATCTGGTATCTGTTCATCTGTTCCTCTATTAGACACCCGAGAATTTATTTTCAGTAAATAGCAACCCTGAGTTCCATATCTCTGCTTCATCTCTTCATAAATTGAGTCAGCTCTGAAAAAATAAAACAACATTTACCCTGCCTTGATATCAGATCATTACTATTCTAAGTGTGTACTGTGACAAGCTATTTTATACTATTACCCATAGGGATTAAAAGAAAAATTCTCCTTTTTTAAAGCAAAAGTGAAACTGAGAATCTCTGAGAATTAGTTCAGTGAGCTGGCAAAGAAAGCCATCTAACTTAAGAAGCTAGCACTGAATTTTTTCATTTTATATGAACACAAGGAACAGATCTAAAATTAACAGTTAAGGAAATCTGCCTTGGTAACAGTCAGCATACTAGTTCATGGATCCTGTTATATGTCTAACCTCCACAGAATTTATAGACATAAACATTTCAAAGAGTTCATCTATAAGTTCACTGAAGGCCAAAGACCCACCTTTGTTCTTCTCCTGTGCTCACATCATGCAGTAACACATAGTACTTGAGCGTGTTTGGTATAAACCACTTGGGAAATACGTATTCACTACTATGCTGAATTCGATGTTGTTCTTGAGACAGCTTCAGAAATTGCTCCACAGGCTCTGGTTCACTAGAAGAAACTACAAGCATACCTAAATTCATGTTAAGGACATTTATCATAAGCACCCAGGAACAACCCCTGATCGCATAATAAAATAGGAAGTGTATAAAATAAAATGGATGAGTACAATGTTTAAGCCTGTAAAACACACCACCACAAAAGCGTGTGCTATTAGAACTTTGCCTTAGCCTCGATAAAAAACTGTTTAGAAGGTCAGTCAACTAACACCTGCAACATGAGATTAAAAGGAGTTTGCTCCAATTCTGACACTGAATCCAAATTTAAGCCAATACATCACAGCTAATAGTTCATTCAAGATTTTATATACAGACCAGCTGTTCACATATGAAACATCTCACTGAAATTCATCCCCAGTGTCCTCCAGTTTTCAACTTCCAAGGAGAGTTGGGACTTTAAGATAAAGCAGAACTGTTCAGATTTTTACCTCAATGCAACTAAGCAGTCATTAATATCCTGCTCTGCTACATCTATTCACCAAATCAGCAACTTCAGAGAACCCAGAAAGCAAGTTGTACTTCAAACATTACTAAAATTCAGAAGTCAGAGGCCAGAATCAATATTTTGCCAAGTTAATTTCTGCACAAATGGTTCTCTCTAATGGATACTAACATACCTGTTCAACCATACTGAAATGATAAAGTACAGTAAAGAATTAGGAACAGAGTAGGTGTTATAAAACCTACAACATTATAATTATTGTAAAGCTAAGTGCCAGCTACATCAGGAAACAGCACATATTTATTTTCCCTGTAGACAAGCAAATCAGAAGTAAGTTTTGGTATAAAAAGACAAGTGAAAGCTTTCAACATCTTTCCAGACTTCTTTTTGTCCAAAGTAGCTCAAAGCTCACCAATTTTCCAGAAGACCCTCCCCAACCTTCCCACTCCATCTGCTATAAAAAGCTATAAAGAGCAGCAGGTGCATCCCAAACACACAAACCCCTGTTGAACATAAGGGACAATCAACAGATACCCAAAGAGCTACAGAACAAAGTGTCTTTGATGAGGAAATTTAGTTTACAGGTACTAACTCAGAGTTCAGTTTGACACAAAAAAATGTGGTTTAAAAAAACAAAACCAAGAACCACTAACCATCAAGAAAATGCTGGGCTCCTTATGAAATTCATGCGTATAGTTAAGACATATCGAAAAGAAATTTATTCCAAATTATACTGGCAAAAAGTTATTGCAAAATTTTAAAGTCTCCTTCCTACATTACACTTCTGCAGCCAGCTCTAACAGCCTTCACTAAAGAGGTCTGTAACACTCAAAGGATACATGCAACATAGTGGTTTAAGAATTCATGATCTGATGCAGGCATGGACTGAAGAAAGCACTCTCTGTAAGACTCAAACCAAGGAGTAGTAGCTGGAATACACAATAAGACAGGACAAATTAGCATATTCAGCGAAACTTATGTTTACTCATTTATGAAAAGGAAATATGAAAGACTATACCTAAAAGTGAAGCTTGCAAACTCTGACAAGGTTTGCATGGCAGGGGAAAGCAGGGGCAACAATCTAAGGAGAAAGCATCTAAAGTACACACAAGCAGGAGAAACGGTAACACTTTGAATCAAATCCTGTGAAACTGAACAGTATCTTAAGCTCCAACTTCCTCAGTATTATAGCCTCACATGTAGTCAGCCCTTGTTAGAGTAACTATACCTTACCACTCCTGTAAACACACACACACTTGCGGAAAAACAAATAAGAATTATTCTAACAGTCATTGAATTTGCCTCGGCTAAGGATGAAGAATTGAGAAGCAAAATCAATTTTTGAGTACGTAGAGGAACTAAAGATTACTAAAACCCTATCCTATCAGTTTGCCTAAAGCTTTCTGCAAGTGATGTGACTTGGCTTGACAGTATCCTCCTTTCTCCACCCTGCTAAAATAAACAGTTCAGCTGTCAGCTGGCAAAGCAGAGATCCAAAAAGCTAAAAGTTCACATCCCAGCTGTGCCGTTAATACCTTATAATGTTAACCTGCCACGTTCAAATGCCCTTTCACAATAGGGATCTCATTTTTCCAAGACCAACAAATAAAGGGAAATCAAGTATGTCTGGGACATCCAAAGAACATGCGAACTCAAAAACCTTATCTGTTTCTTTCCACTCCAACTATTAGTCAAGCAATGAAGTATTACTTCTTCTTTCAAGACTGTTCTATGCCATCTCAACTCTGCAACTCCTTCCCTTGAGTGGAAAAAAGACCCCAGAGCAAAATAAGTCCACTTCCAATAACCCAAATTCACACTGAAGTTAGCTGGAACTCACCTGCAAACTAGAAAACAACAACTAGTACAGAAAAAAATGCATTAATAAGAAATCCCGAAGGTATTTATTGTATTTATATGGCCCCAAGTAAACACATTACTTGATTTAACTTACGAAGAATTTCTAATGCTTTGTAAAACTACCCTGCCGGCCCCCCAAAAAAACAACCCAACGTCTTAATTTCTTAGCTAAGAAACAGAGGTTCGTTTTTATGTTGAAATTATCTTCTAGCGCATTAAGTGAATGTATTTTGTTTAATTCTGCATTGTCAGGCCATCTTACATCAGCTTCATCCACACAGAAGTCGGATATAGTCACACTCGGTAACTGAACTCAGTCTAGCAGTCAGCACTTCTCACAAAAAAAAAAAATCAATCATGAGAAAAACCTCCAACTTTTAACTATAGCCTTTCTAGCAACTGCTCTCTGAACACTCATCTAGGGTATAAAAAGTTCTTGGCTTTAATATGTCCCACCTGTAAAAATGCCCAGTATGTAAAATAAGGAAAACACAACTTGTTATTAAAAGCAAACCATGAGAAAGTGACTCATACACATATTTTTCAGAAGTAAAATAAAGCCTTGTAATAACTCAGGTTCAAACCAAACAACGCTAAACTACTCAAGGCAGAAATTCCAACCACATTTTAGTTTCAGGCTCTGTTTTCAGTTTTCCATTTCTGTTTTACAGCTGAACCATGGCAAAGAAAGTTTTTTAAAATCCAACACAGCTACAAACACGGAAGTACTACTTTGTTTCATGGGGTGGGTTTTGGTTTTTTTTTTCCCTCCTTCCTTTTGCCATTCAGCCTATTAAGAACCTTGGAAGTGACTACGAAGGCAACTGGATTCCCTTTACACAACCACAACATGCATTAACAGTAGTCACTCAAGAGCCTTTACAGAGCTGTAATCATTTACGGTAGATACTTAAAATAATAAACATGCACCATATTCAAAACAAAAACAATATTTGAAAAAATTTCACATATGCAACATTTCATAACATATAGTAGCAGCGCATAGCAACACTGTGTCATTTAGGTACACAGACCTGTAAGTTTTGCATTTTTCCAGTACACTAAACAAGCAGAACTGAAGTTTAAGCAAACTTATTAACGTGTTCAGAAATTGTTAAGAAAAATTGTAAGTAATATTCGTGCATAACAGCTTACAAATGAGAAGTCTACTTCATGAAGTTTTGCACTTTTTAGCTACCTGACTGACCAAGACGAATTTCAGATGCTGATATTGTAGCACATTCAGAAAGGAAGGCATTTAGCAGCATCCGAACAGAAACTACTGAAAGGATAGCTACTACTAACCAAAGGCATACACTCTGTTCATATCCAAAACTGAAAAACGTCAAAATCTAGCTCTTCTAGACCACACCACACAGCTTCAGTATAAAGCTGAGAGGTCAGTAACCAATGTGTTTTTGTAGCAATAAGTCTCAGAAACTAGGTGAAAATGTATTACAAAGTGCTTTTTTTTTTCCCT